TAGCATCGGTTGGCATCCGAGAGATAGCTCAAATCAGTGACTGGAAGTGTTGTCGAATATGGCCAAGAATTGTAATCAGTTACTGACGTGCTGAAATTTCCTTCTCTCTTGCCTTTCTGACAATAATTTGACGAATGCTGTCTGTTCTTGCTAAATATGGCTGCTTCCTTTCCAGATGAACTCCTTCATCCATTCTCCACCTACTTTCCTTCATATGTTATTGCTTTATTAATATTATAGTGTGGTGTATCTTCTTGGCGGCTACATTGTACCAAGTTTTGTGTTCTGAATAAATAAATAAATAATATACGTTTGAATACTGTTTCCGATTGTGAAGTTCCTCCGATTGAGATGGTTAAGACATGTGTTACGAATGCCTGTCATCGTCTTCCTCGACAACGGGCAATGTTAGCTGATATAAGGTCAGGTTGGAAAACAGAAAGCTAATGATGGTCAAACCAAAGCATGGCTTCATTAGTCAATGAAATCTACAACAATTAGTTGAAGCCAGCCAGTCACGTAGGAAGGCGTCGGCGTCCTGGTTGGAGTCCTCAGGACGGTAAAAACCAATGACGACTGGAGAAAATTAGTGATATGGCTCAAAATCCTAGTTCTCAATGCATAGCGCAGATGTATCCACTCCTTGTGACTAACAATTTTCAATAAATCTATATTGTTCTTCAATATCACTATTCCCCTTTTGCCTCATGTGTCTTTTATCTCTATTTTGCATCCTCTCTACTTTCTTCTCCGCCTTTGTGTCCTACATGGACGGAGTGTGGCGACTCGACAAAACACTGCGACCGATATAATAGCTGCGTAAAAATAATCGATAAATTATCCTTAAAATTAGAATAACAGTGGTTTGTGTAGAATGTAAGATGGTACCATCATATTGTTTATTTCATTGGCTTCTCATCAGCTGTGTACGTACAGCTCAGGGAAATTATGATGTCATGTAGTGACAGAAGGTTCCAAATATAGTGAACAGTGCTCAGGAAATTATACTTATGTCGTTTTTACCCAGAGTTCATGTTTAAAACAAAAATCGATGTATGCATACAATTATAAAGGAGTTACTTAATAAAGATAAAAGGTCATTAAGGTGATGAGCAAGTAATAAGCTGAGTAACACTGTAGTGAGTACAGCTCAAATCCTAGAAACAAAAGACAGCAAAGTTAAACATTAAGTACCACTAACTAACAATCAACGAATGACGTCAAATGTGAAGGAGGCATTTTTGTGTATGGAGTGCATATATATTTATAAAAACAACATGCATAAAAGCTGTATAAAAGCGTTACAGAGGATATCATTCTCTCACATGTGATGAAAATAGCTTTCAGTTTTAGGTTGGAGTAGCAACGGAGAATAATTCCATTGTGGGTAAAATTTTTGTTTTTAATAAAGTTTCACAGAGTTATACAGTAATATTTACTGAGCAATATAATTGTGCTCGAAATGTATAACACTGAGCATTTATCGAAATAAATTTTACCCACAATGGAATTATACTCTACCACAGTACACAAGTTTGATTCTTATATTAACAGGGTAATTTAACCACATCCTATGCATGTAATTATTTAGGTCTTCTAACCTTAATCTTTCCTGAACCTAACCCTAACGTGATAATATCCCCAAACTAACTGTAATCTAATAATAATAATATTAACAGCTTCATTCCAAACGGTATTTGTGGTACAGGTATGGAATTTTCAGCGTGCATTACAGTATATTGCATCTAATTACCTCATAAATTATATAAGATTTTTAAAAATCAAAGATAAATAAATAAAAATAAAATAATTAAAAATTAAGAAAAATCAGCGTAGAGTATTTCATTTCAAACAATGCACCACAGGATATGAAATATAAAGTTGATGTGTGATAGAAGATGAGAACAACAATGTAATAGTAACGGAGAAAGGAAAACAAAAACTAATGGAACTATTTGTTAGAGTGCCGCAGTAAGTTGATCGTGTCATACCTAACGGATTTCTCATCACATAACAGCTGTGCCAGATATGGTATTGTGGAGTTTTTGTATTTGGTGGTCCTAGAATATAGCCGCCTATAGCTGCTTCTAGTTCGACCAAATGAAATGCAAGGAGACAGCTGCGTATAGAGAGGATGCTCGGGGTGTGACAATATTGTATTCGCTAGTTTCTTACATGATATAATATGTCTATCTACAATAGTGTTAACCAGTTGGTTTAACGATATCCCACTTGCCCTACTAACGGCTTTTAGTGCCCTTCTCAGCGAAGCAAAGTCTTTCTTAAGTAGTCCAGGAAAGATTAATGGGGAGCAGTAAAAGGGGATGGGTAGAATACAAGAATTGACAAACTGAGAAAGCAAAGACTGCTTTATGCCAGACTGCCTAAATTTCCTAATGTAGAACGTTAAGCGAAACTCGAACCAAACCTAATGTCGCCTTCATTAGGTTAACTTAACCCTAATTTGTCCTTGGCTTAAATCGTAACTTAATCTTCGCCAAACCTAAGCTGAAACTTGCCAGATATCCCATTTAATAGCATAACACACTTTGGTGAGCATATTTTTGATTGATGGTGACAACATTATTTACCAGGTTTCACTAATTTGCTTAGTGTGCGTTTCAAGGCCATTGATGCGGTCGCACTCCATTGGCAGTTAGTGTTGCTTAAAGTTTAACTTGGCCCAAAAGACAAGCAAATTTACATTACATCAAAGAGGAGAGGGTGAGGTTAAAGCCAAAGATTACATAATCAAATGAAAGAGCGAGAGTGAGAGTAAAGACATCCAGTTATACCAGGGCAAGGAAACACTAGTAACTGATTCTTTTTGAAGACACAAATTGGATTCCAGGCTTTCGATAGAGATTGCTTCGACAAACTTGAGGGGATTTGAGCTATCTTGTCTTTCAGGGTTGATCACGGATCGATATCAGTTAGAAAACCATTGAAAACCAGCACTGAAGTACTGCACAGCTGTTTCATCTTAGTTTGGGAATCGTCGGCAGTACGTACCCCACTGCCAGGGTTCGAACCCAGGACCTTCTGGTTACAAGGCAATCTCATATACCATTTAGTCACTGGTACCCGATTCAATGGCTAATGAATTCTAACTTCTACCAGTTCGTGATTCAACGCGATAATTTTGATAATTTTAATGAATTTATTGACGTCCAACTCATGTCCCGTATCAAGGAAATACCTGCCAATGGCACTATTGAAATCATTTATTCCCTTGAGACGTAGGCCTTTCGATACATGTTCATAAAATTGGAGGTGTGCTCTTCTTCTTCTTTCTGTTTTCCCATTGAAACTGCTCCTTCAGCAGACACATGTAAATGTGTAAGCTTTCGCTGACTTACACCATCTCTGGCGTAGGCGTGACATCCGGTTATCAACCAAGGGACGTGTGTACTGCTCATCAGTTCGCTCCGTCCTTCTCTATGGCTCTGAAACATGGCCAATACGCGTTGAAGACATGAAAAGGTTGACTGCTTTCGATCATAGATGTCTGCGATCTCTGTCTCACGTTAGGTGGTTTCACAAGATAAGTAATGTTGACGTTAGGCGTAGAGTGTTGGGCAAAGAGGGAAAATCAATCGACGAGGTTATAAAGTTACATAGACTAAGATGGCTAGGTCAGGTGGTGCGCATGCCTAACCACCGCCTCCCCCGACGGGCATTGTTAGCTGATATAGGTGGTGCAGGTTGGAAAAGAGCCAGTGGTGGCCAAACAAAAACATGGCATCAATCCATGAAATCCTTGACAGTTAAACTGAGTCAGGTAGGGAGATGCAGACTCCCGGGTTGGGGCGCTCGGGACTGACTCTAGGAATCAATCAGTAGCTGGAGACAATAGGTGACATGGCTGAAAATCGTTGTCAATGGCGCAGATGTATTCAATCTCTGTAATCTTTCATATTCCTTTCTACCATTACCCATTCTGTTTCACTCTTATATCTATCAAACTCTATAAATTCTCTTCACTCATCTTCTTGTCTACCTCTGTGCTATTTGGAAGGTGGCAACTCGAACTGCTGCACTTCTGTGGCAAGTTCTATGTTGAATCCAGACAGACAGACAGAGTTAACATGATGAGTCTATCTGTCGACTTTTGACTGCATTATTACCACCTTTAAAATGGAGCTGTATGAACATAGGCCTTTTCCCCCACTGGGATTTGTTTGAAAAATGAGCCTTCACATCTCCTGAACTTGTTAATAAATCTCTGAGGGTGACCGTTGTTTTTCAAAATTTGCTCACATCATCTTGATTCATAAGTGAATTGGTGGATGGTGATTAGCAGTGGAATCCAGCCAGAATGCGCATTTCGTCCTCTTCGGGACTCGTCATCTGGATGTGCCTGCATTCCCCAGTGAGTGATGATGTTCCCACCGAGGCTCGAACCCAGTGGCCATAGTTTCAAATGCCAAAGCGTTATCCATTAGACCACAAGCCACCATCATCACTCACTGCGGAATTCAGATACGTCCAGTTGACGAGTCCCGAATAGGACGAAATGCACTTCCTGGATTCCACAGCTAGTTACCATCCTCTAATTAAATTCTAATTTCATGCCCAGACATCGTTGAGGCATCTGCACAAGAAGCAGGCGACATGTCAACCTGAGACCGAGCAATTCGGTCCAGCCAATCGACGGGAAAATCTAAAATTTAATTAAATCATTTTGTTTTATGTTTAAATTTGAACTCTTTTTGGGGGGGGTGGCTATGCACTGTAGTGAGTGTAATTCAATTTGCACTGTTAACGGACATCATTTCACATTTGTATATTACAATTGTTTCTGTACATGAACTTCATGATAATTTCTTTAGGATGTACACACACGCAGCTGATGAGAATTAAATAATAATTGTAACTACGTTTGTGAACTACGATTGTACAGCTTTTGTGAATGAAATTTAAGAATTTGAGTATTTCCTTTCGTTTTTCATGGACTCTAATATTTAAATGCCTTTATCTTCACTTTATTTAACTTGTAGATACCCAAGAAAGTAAACTTTTGTGTACCGATGAAGAACTTGATCATCTATGCCGTACCGGTGCTCAGTATATTCCAAGAAGAGCTTTAGGCTTTGGAAATTCTGGCAATACATGTTATTTGAATTCTGTTCTACAATGTATTTTAGCCACAGGTCCTTTATTGGCTTATATTCATTCAAAACATTCAAATAGTAACAATTGTCCAATTACTAGTACCGCTAATTATAATCGATCTACTCTGCCTAATGTGAATAAATCACGTTTTTGTGTCCTGTGTGGATTAGCCCGTCTTCTGAGTGAACATCGTTCACAAAGCGGTGGTCATACAGTCCCATCGTATTTTGTAACCAATGTTCGAGGTGAGTTGAAAACACTTTCTGTTTGTCTGTTTTTTTTTCGTAATATTGGCGATAGATTTCTCCTTTGGGTGTTTTTTTAAGGCCTTCTGTTGTCATTTTGAATGACATCAAAGTTTCGTTTTCCTCTGGATGCTGCTTTTAACATAAATGTAAGCGTTATAAGTAGTACCGCGCTTTTTTGAGCGGGATTATCGTCATGTATCACTATCATGAGTTGTATTTTAAAGCCCCGACCGATAACTGCTACCTTGACGTGGTGGTCGAGCTTGCATATTGCGCCGACCCAACAAGCAACACTGGCTAGAACTAATGTTCCTGCAGGTCCTACCATTCCAGGAAGGTTGTTAGAATAGCGATTAGACTAAAAGCAGTTACCGGCATTATGTAAAAGTCTTTCTTACACTCTGCTGGGGGTCTGAGGGCGAAGTCGTACTGCTGGGGAACAGGGGTGTAACAGCAGTGAGGTGTTTTCCTCAGATGACCAACATGCCAGCTATGTTGTCTCTCCACTCTGGGGAGAGGGGGTTATGAAAGGTCGACCCCAAAAATTGCACATCCTGACTTGCCCCACCTACGGTGGTCTGTAACCGGCGGTAAGTTTATTAATACAGAACCAATCCCAGAATCCAGTTCATACAGGCCGTGTGTGACCGGCCTGGTTCAAGCAGTTGTCCCTGGGCTCTGCGGTCACGCAACACTAACCCTCTCTCTCTGTTTCTGGTACTCGAAGAATCAATCAACTTCCACGGTGTAGGCAGCCAGGAAGTAACAACCGCTCACACACTTCCAAAAGCACACGAAGCCTTCCTGAGCATCATTCTTCTTTACTCACTTCATCTTGCTTCTCTACTACAGTTAGTACTGTTCTGCAGGCTAGTGAGTCATCTTCACTTCACTCTGTGAATTTTAATGTGCTTTGTAAAGTAGAAGATAGCTAACTGTCTTCAAAGGGAATCTAATGTTTGGAAAGTTTTGCGCGTCACCGAAGGCATTTCCACAACAGCCTTTACAGAATTTTATCAACACTTGTTCTCAGTGAATCAGCCAAAACGATATGACGCGCAATCAGCAAAAATGCAGAAGAGAATGGAGGTGATTGGATGTGCGCCAAGGAGACCTTCAAGTAAAGTCACACGTCAGGTAGATCGTCGAGTGGAATCTGAATGGAAGCTACGGGTTCGACTTCCTAGTGTAGGTCATGGATAAGCTATGATTTAAAAATTAAGTGTTGGCAAGGAATCACGTGCAAATAGAGATGTGCTGTTGAAAGTGTTCTGTCCTCAACTTGGAACACCCTTGTAATATGTGTACTTACGTATATGTATGTCATTTATAATTCGTTTAACCTCTTGTTGTCTATATTTTTAATCTTTCTCCTCCCTTCCAGCTGTTTGTCCAAGTCTTCGTCCATATCAACAAGAAGATGCACATGAATTTCTGCTGGGATTATTATCACGTATGGAAGATGGTGCAATGGCAGGTTTAGGAAAAATTCCGCGTAAAATATCAGAGACAAATGTTATTAGACGAATATTTGGCGGTGTTATGCGCTCAGAAGGTAGGTAGTCCGTTGTGTCCTTGATTGTACGTGTTGTTCGTTTTAGTTATCGATGTTTAATGCTTATCAAAGCTGGTTGAGTAGTAAACAAGTCCTCGTGTGATAATCATAGGGGGATCAGCCTAACGAACATAGTCTCTAAAATCCTAGGCTCAGTAATCATGCATAGACTAAGCAGAACTCGGGAGGAACAAACGAGGGAAAATCAAGCAGGCTTTAGACCAGGTAGAGGGTGCATAGATCATATCTTCACTCTTCGACAGATTCTAGAACATAGACACACTTTTCGGCGTCCAACAATTGTCATATTTCTTGACTTGAAGGCGGCCTTCGACTCCGTGGATCGAAAGGTACTATGGCAATGTCTGACTGTGAAGGGAGTGCCAAGAAAGTACATTGCACTAATCAAGGCACTCTATTCAAACTCACGTAGTCGTGTAAGGGCTTATGGGGAATTGTCATCTGAATTGGTAACAACCAGTGGTGTCCGACAGGGATGTCCACTTTCCCCATTTCTGTTTAACTTCATCATAGATATGCTGATGGAAGTATCCTTAACTGAACGTAATGACTTAGGAATCGACTTGTTACCAGGGAATAGTCTTATGGACTTAGAATATGCAGATGACATAGTCCTGTTAGGGGAGGATGCTGACAAAATCCAGCAGAGTCTTCTGAACACCTTGAGCAGCAATCTTCGTATGTTTGGCATGAGATTCGCCCCTGTAAAATGTAAGATGCTGCTACAGGACTGGACTACGTCAACTCCTAGCTTAGTGATAGGGAGTGAGAAGTGATAGAACATGTTGACCACTTCACCTATTTGGGAAGTTGTATTAGCACCAACGGACTGATTGGCGACGAAATCTCAGCACGGATCCAAAAAGCTCGAGCTGCTTTCGCTGACTTACACCATCTCTGGCGTAGGCGTGACATCCGGTTATCAACCAAGGGACGTGTGTACTGCTCATCAGTTCGCTCCGTCCTTCTCTATGGCTCTGAAACATGGCCAATACGCGTTGAAGACATGAAAAGGTTGACTGATTTCGATCATAGATGTCTGCGATCTCTGTCTCACGTTAGGTGGTTTAATAAGGTAAGTAATGTTGACGTTAGGCGTAGAGTGTTGGGCAAAGAGGGGAAATCAATCGACGAGGCTATAAAGTTACATAGACTAAGATGGCTAGGTCAGGTGGTGCGCATGCCTAACCATCGCCTCCCCCACCAGACGGGCATTACTAGCTGATATAGGTGGTGCAGGTTGGAAAAGAGCCAGTGGTGGCCAAACAAAAACATGGCCTCATCAATCCATGAAATCCTTGACAGTTAAACTGAGTCAGTCAGGTAGGGTAGGAGATGCAGACTTCTCCGGGTTGGGGCCCTCGGGACTGACTCTAGGAATCAATCAGTGGCTGGAGACAATAGGTGATATGGCTCAAAATCGTTGTCAATGGCCAGCTCAGATGTATTCAGTCTCTGTAATCTTTCATATTCCTTTCTACCATTACCCATTCTGTTTCACTCTTATACTTGTCAGACTGTATTGATTCTCTTCACTCATCTTCTTGTCTACTTCTGTGTGCTATTTGGAACGTGGCAACTCGAACTGGTGCACTTCGGTGCCAAGTTCTATGTTGAATCCAGACAGACAGACGACAGGTTGAGTAGTAGAACTCCATTCAATAAAGTTCCTGTAATAATGACTTCGAAACTTGAATTTGATGGCTTTCTTTGTTCTCTCCTATTTGTTGTCGTTGGAGTAGTAGAATTTTCCAGATATCTACGTGGACAGGTGTCGAATCATTCCTGTTACATGTATTTGCAGTTGATTCGATAAACAAAGGTTCTGTTACTAATCTCTCCCTCTCCCACCCTGTGAAATTAGATTCTAAAACTGTCATCCTATCTCACTTGTTCTATTGTATGGCTGTATGTATTGCATGAAGTGGATGGTATAGCTGAACCACTCTCGAGATTTCTTATTTTATTCGGGTCAACCAATCTAGATTTCGTTACTAGGTTTTTATGCTCTGCTAGTCTAACTGCCCCTGTTCTACTAGTTTGACCTATGTATTTGACGTGACGTTCATTGCAGGATATTAGATAAAGTAACTTGTTCTTTTTAAAGGCTCCACAGGATTGATCCTTTAACCGACAAGGCTTGTTTCCAGTTGGGTTTGTAAATGCCAGTCACTATTTATTCCTGCCTTGTTAAGAATTTTGCTTAAGGTTTCCAAGGTTCCTTCCTTGTATGGAATTCCTACTGATGACTTAGGTTCCTTGCTGTTGGTGTTGTCATTATCGTGTACATGTTTGACATGCATGTCGTCATTAATATTACTATTATCACTATCACTACTATCATAATTTATTTTATTTTTACATTTCTCTACATATTTCCTGATTAATTTGCTTATATGCCTCACTACCTGTCTTAGATTTTCCTTGGTACTACTTAGTTTTTGTGCCCTACTATCACTTTAACATTTCACCAATGCTATTTTCACTGACATAGGATGGGATTATCTGTTTGAATGTGTGAGTTTCCTGTAAACACTAGTGTGTGTTTAACTTCCTGTCTTCTTTCCCTATTTTACGCTACAATCTAACATTGGAAGCTGCGCTTCTTGACTTTCCAATTCATAAGTTAGCTGAATTGGCTCCACCTTTGAATTAATGTGTCCAAAAAATCTATCTATAAAACTAAAATTTCGAAGTCGTGTGATTATAACTGATATAATTATGAACAATAAATTTTGTTCGAAACTGTGTCATCCAGTAAACAATACTGTTTCACACTGTTAAGGACATATCTAATAAACAAACTAATATGGGGAGGTTGTCAAGTCTGTGTTAATTGAGCCTTTTCTAATAAGTGTATCTATGCTTGTCGATTTCCTTCTTGCTAAAACCACTTTTCTGGTAGTTGGTTCCAAAAGTGTATAACATGGTGATACAACCAGTAATCCGCAGCAACACGGTTGTCTTTGACGTTTGAACTCTCATGCTACTGTGTCTTCTGAGATGCTGGGACCTAGTCGGAAAGAAAATAGAACATACAACAAGCCCCAACGGGTTGATTTCTGACGAAATATCAGTGGGGATACAGAGAGCCAGTTTCGCATATCCCAGTTTACGCCGTCTCTGGCGTAGACGTGTTATCCGGCTGGCTATTGAACTAAGGGTGGGTGTACTGCTCATCAGTCTGCTTCGTCCTCCTTTATAGCTGTGAGATCTGTCCATTGAGAGTGGAAGACATGAAAAGCCTGGCTGGCTGTCTACGATCATAGGTGCCTGCGCTCTATTTCGTGTGAAGTGGTATAATAAGGTGAACAATATTGAGGTTAGGCATCGGTTGAATGATAGATAAGAAGGGGAAATCAATCGACAAGGCTGTGAAGCTACATCGACTGAGATAGTTAGGACATGTGTACGAAGGCATGGCTAGCAATCGATCACCTCCCTCGTCACTGGGCAATGTTAGCTGACATAAGGTTAGGCTGGAAAAGAGCTAGCGATGGTCAAACCAAGACATGGCACCAGTCAATGAAATCCCAAACAGTTAGTTTAAGCTAGCCACGTAGGAAGGTGTATACTTCCAGGTTGGGGTCCCCGAAATGGTAAAACCCAGTGACGGCTGGAGACAATTGGTGATATGGTTCAAAGTGATCGTTCTCAATGGCACAGGTAGATACATCCACTCCTTGTGACTTATAATTTCCAATGAAACTATACTGTTCTTCGTTATTACTACTTCTTTGTCTCATACCTCTGTTTACTGTCCTATTATGCATTTCTCTCTACTTTCTTCTCTTGTTTTATGTGCTACATGGAGGGAGTGTGGCGATTTGAACTGCCGCACATCGGTGCAAAGTTCTATGTCGACAACAGACAGACTGTTGTCATTTCTTCCTATGTTGAATCATACATATCAAGAATTATATGTCTCACTTTCTGTTGAATCCTTTCCTTCCTTTCAAGACAAGGACAGGCTGTCTGACTGCAGTTTCTTAGTTTTGACCATATCAGAGATGCATTGTGGATGCAAAAGGCTCGTATAGAATTTCCCGACTCTTCGGTGTAAACCTGACATTTGGTTATCGATTAAAGAAGGTGTGTGCTGCACAGTAGCGATTCGCTCCATCCTCGTTTATGGCTTGCCGTGAGAAGAAATGGCCATTAAAACTGGGAGATATGAAAAGGCTAACTGTCTTTGAGCATAAGTGTCTGCGTTCTGTTTCCCATGTTAGCTTCGCTCCGTCCTTCTCTATGGCTCTGAAACATGGCCAATACGAGTTGAAGACATGAAAAGGTTGACTGATTTCGATCATAGATGTCTGCGATCTCTGTCTCATGTTAGGTGGTTTAATAAGGTAAGTAATGTTGACGTTAGGCGTAGAGTGTTGGGGAAAGAGGGGAAATCAATCGACGAGGCTATAAAGTTACATAGATTGAGATGGCTAGGTCAGGTGATGCGCATGCCTAACCATCGCCTCCCCCACCAGACGGACATTACTAGCTGATATAGGTGGTGCAGGTTGGAAAAGACTGAGTGGTGGTCAAACAAAAACATGGCCTCATCAATCCATGAAATCCTTGACAGTTAAACTGAGTCAGTCAGGTAGGGTAGGAGATGCAGACTTCCGTCCGGGTTTGGGCCCTCGGGACTGACTCTAGGAATCAATCAGTGGCTGGAGACAATAGGTGATATGGCTCGAAATCGTTGTCAATAGCCAGCTCAGATGTATTCAGTCTCTGTAATCTTTCATATTCCTTTTTACTATTATCCATTCTGTTTCACTCGTATAGTTGTCAGACTGTATTGATTCTCTTCACTCATCTTCTTGTCTACTTCTGTGTGCTATTTGGAAGGTGGCAACTCGAACTGGTGCATTTCGGTGCCAAGTTCTATGTTGAATCCAGACAGACAGACAGACAGAGACCTCCAAAGCCTCAGGATGTTCGGGGGTGGGTGTCTTGCGCTGCGGGCTAGCCACCCC